CATCCCTGGAGGTATTTAAAAGAAGGATAGATGAGGTGCTTAGGGACATGGTTTAGTGGTGGGATGGCAGGGTTAGCTTAAAGGTTGGACTTGATGATCTCAAAGGTCTTTTCCAACCAAAGTGATTCTATGATTCTATGTTTCAGCCTTCCCTAAGGATTTTATTTTCATAGAATCATAAAATCATTTAGGTTGAAAAAGACCTTTAAGATCACCAAGTCCAACCATTAACCTAACACTGCTAAGTCCACCACTAAACCATGTCCCTAAGCACTGCATCTACATATCTTTTAAATACCTCCAGGGATGGGGACTCAACCACTTCATTGGGCAGCCTGTTCCAATGCTTGTTAACCCTTTCAGTGAAGAAATCTTTCCTAATATCCAAAGTAATCCTCCTGTAAACCTCCCCTGGTGCAACTTGAGGCCATTTCTTCTTGTCCTATCACTTGTCACTTGGGAGAAGAGACTGACACCCACCTCATTACAATCTACTTTCATATAGTTGTAAAGAGCAATAAGGTCTCCCATGACCGTCCTTTCTCCAGGTTAAACAACCCACCTCCCTCAGCTGCTCCTCAGAAGACTTGTGCTCCAGACCCTTCATCAGCTTCGTTGCCCTTCTCTGGACACGCTCCAGTGATTCAATGTCCTTCCTGTAGTGAGGGGCCCAAAACTGAACACAGTACTCGAGGTGTGGCCTCACCAGTGCTGAGTACAGGGGCATGATCACCTCCCTACTCCTGCTGGTCACACTATTCCTGATACAAGCCAGGATGCTATTGGCCCTCTTGGCCACCTGGGCACACTGATGACATAGGTTTAGCCGGCTGTTGACCAACATCCCCAGGTAATTTTCCTGCCAGGCAGCTTTCCACCCATTCTTCCCCAAGCCTGTAGTGTTGCATGGGGTTTTTGTGATCAAAATGTAGGACCCAGAACTTGGCCTTGTTGAACCTCATACAGTTGGCCTCAGCCCATTGATCCAGCCTGTCCAGATCCCTCTGAGGAGCCTTCTTACCCTTAAGCAGATTGATACTCCCACCGAATTTGGTGCCATCTGCCAACCTACTGAGGGTGCACTCAATCCCCTCATCCAAACCATTGATAAAGATGTTAAATAGAACTGGGCCCAAAACAGAGCCCTGGGGAGCACTGCTTGTGACCAGCCGCCAACTGGATTTAACTCCATTCACCACAACTCTTTGCACCTGGCCTTCCAGCCAGCTTTTTAGCCAGTGAAGAGTATGCCCGTCCAAGACATGAGCAGCCAGTTTCTCTAGGAGAATGCTGTGGGAAATGGTCTCATTTTCACCTCTAAGAGACAAAGGAAGACAATATGTATTTCAAATTCAACCTTGTATTCTAGCCCAAAATCATAACACTGAATTCAGATACTCTTATCTGAACAGCTCACATACTCAACCAACTTTTTCTCCAAATTTTTACCATTGGACTTGCACTGAAGAGGTTACTGCTATGTTGGTGCCAAATTATGCCTCTATCTTGCACAGGGAGTAAAGGAGCATGGATTTTTCTTCTTTGCTATATGCTTTGCATAGAAATAAGGATAATGGAATTCCCTTTACCAAGGAAGTACAGGAGCTATTATCTTCCTGCATTTGAGACACAAACTACAACAGCAAGAGGTGGGGGCTGCTTCTCTCTGTAGCTGGCTGCTTTCTGAGAGAGGAGGAACAATGCACTGTTTTAAGAACCACTTTTGCCTTGTTGGGTCTCTCATGGGAAGGCTGCAGCACTGCACATACATGCAGGGCTCAAGAAACTATGGCAATCTTGAACTCTTAGGCTGCCACTCTTCACCTTTCCTTCCCCCACCAAAAGAATTAACAATGGAAAAGCACCAAGAAGTTGTTAGCTTAGGCATGACAAACCGAAAAAGCTTAATTAGCATCCACAGGCAGTCTAGTGAAAATGTGGAAACAAATCTCTGTTTCAGAAGATAGATGAATGAAAGGCTGCTGCGCAGGACCATGTAATCTGTAGGCAACCTAAAATAATTTAGATTGGTGTTTTGACTAACTCTGGCTGCAAGAGGCATTAAGTGCACCCATGTGTTAGTCTAATGAGGCCAAGTCAACATTTCTTCTGCAAATATTTACTGTATTTTAAAAGCCTGGTGGCTACAGCTGTCAGTCTGGGTTAAAACCTTAGATATAGGTCTTGGCACAAGAGCTCATCCTCTAAAGAAATGAACCCTCCAATTATTGTAGGACTAGGAGGAGCATCTCTCTGACAGTACCAAGGAGGTGGATGCTGGCTTGGGCCCCTCCTCAGAGCACTATGCTCTAACCTCTGTCTAAAGCCCTCCTTTGGGGTGGAGGAAATACAGCCAGTAAAAGGCAAAAGCAGCATAGAGGTGGGGACTCATTTTTATATTTTTTATCGTTATGAACTTGCAAAAAATAATTCAAGTACATTACAACAAACTTCTGGGGAGTTCTGGGAAGAGGCTAAGTCTGTTTGCTCAGATTAGACTTCCCAAGAGGAATACAGTTTAGTGACAAAGTCACATACAATGGCTATGTGGAGGTGATATGGATTTTCACAGTGGCCACCAATCCACTCATCTAGAAAGAAACCCAAACCCAAAGCATAAACATAACGTTTCCTCCTAAGTAGACATCCCCAAATATCCTAAAATTGCTGTCACAGTTCTTAAGATCACGAGAAGAACTGCAAAAGTAGGATTTATTATTTTTTATTTTATTATTGATATAATTGTTACCGTTGTCTTTTATTTGCTTCCTGGATTTTTATGCTTTCAAGTTTGCTCCTCAGCCACAATGAAACGTGACTTCTTTTTTAGTCTTAAAGTTGAGATTTTCGGGCAATCACTTCATTACATTAGGGGAGACCTCAAAAAAACAACTCAAAAGACAAGTTACAAAGTGGAGTAATGAAAAGTAATAATGGAATTGACTGAATTAGATAATGAATTTGGACATTTCAAAATAGGCAAACCAAGAACAGCCCAAGAACACACTTCCTTTGTGAACTTTAATTTGCACTTCAGAACTTAAAGTAGTTTTCTGATCTGCAGTTAATACAACAGTTTGGAAGCTACTGAAAATTACATGGTAGAATTAATCCTTAAATGGCTTTTTTGCATGGGATATTTTGTCTGCAGTGTATGTTCTTGGTAGCATGAAGCATGGTGTTGTGAACAAAGAAAAATGAGAATGAATACACGCAAAGAATGTACAGTTCTGAATGAAAACAGGGAGTGAGAATGTTAGGAAACAGGAAAGTTTTAAGGAAGGAAGCTTAAAGGAAAACAGTGCATGATGAGTGAACTTCAGATTCAGAAGTAAAATACAAATACTTACCTTTAATATATATATAAGTTTACATTTTATAAAAGAATAGTACTTTTTTCAGGTTATGTCACATGTAAAAATAAGTTTTTAGAAAGATGAGTTAATCATTTTAATATATATAGACCATATAACTCTTTAAGTGGTTATGAGAGTATGAAGACAATAGCTTTAAATCAGTGTAGTGATTTATAAATAGGCTAAAAATGTGATACTTTTCTGTTTTATCAATTTGATTTTATTTCTGTAATTGATGTATCACAAATTTTTATTTTATGAGAGACTATCAATTATTTATTCAGGGGCTTAGACAAGTGGTATAGACAATATTTGAAATGGTTTTTGACTGAAAGATCTGTGAAAACAAAATAATAAACCACTTACCTTTCAATGCAACATTTAACTCCTACATGTCTTTTAGTATAAATTTTGGTTAGTCAATAGAGACTTAGTATTTTTTAAGAAGGGAGATATCCATAGCATAAATTTTGGTTAGTCAATAGAGACAAAACATACTACTTAGTATTTTTTAAGAAGGGAGATATCCATAGCTGCTGACTTTTTTGACTAATAACTACTTTTTCTAAGCTTAGGTGTAGTAAATAACCATAATGTTGACACAGGATATTTATGCTCAGCATAATTTCATGAATTATATTGATGGTAATTGAATATATAAATATCCATGGAAATACACATTTTCCTACTTACCCAACGGACAGGAAAGGCTCCTTTGATTCAAGTCTGTCAAGTAAATAACAGAAGTTTTAAATACATGTATATTTACTGTATTTCAGAACATTTATACAATGAATTTAAAACAGCCACTCTCAGTATCCGATTTATTTGGTGACTAATATACAATTTATCAACAATAGAAGGGCCTGAACCATTATACCAGGAGCTTAACTAAAAAAAATCCCATTTACCTAACTGAACTTTGGTTTAAAAATCAAGTATTTACAAAGCAGCACATCTAGGCCCATTAAATTTCACAGATTCAGATGATTTGTGTAGGTATTTACAGGGAAAGGCTAGAACGAACAAGTAATACGTTGTCCTTTTTTTGCATGTTTAATGCAAAATGTTTTCTTTTGAAGGCCATGATTTAGGGAATATATTGAATCTTTTTTTCTTTTTAACTTTAAACATGAAATCTAGTATGGGAATAGGAACTTTCCTGATTTGAGGGCTTCCACAACCATTTAGTTTGCTTTCCAACATCCTCTATTCATATGATATGGTGACTTCTTCACTGTGAGACCTTCTGGTATGTCTTCCACAATCAGTCTTGTGCTGAAGCTGTATGCCACTAGTTTGGTAGACCCAGAATCATGCCCAGTTCTAAAACCAGTTATTAAAAGTGTTGTTCTCCAACTCTCTGCTGTTACTGCTGTCTCTGTGGGGAGCTGCACCACTTAGAATCATAGAATCATAGAATCATAGAATGTTTAGGGTTGGAAGGGACCACTAGTGGCCATCTAGTCCAACCCCCCTGCAGTGAGCAGGGACACTGCTAACTAGATCAGGTTGCTCAGAGCCCCATCCAACCTGGCCTTGAATGTTCCCAGGGATGGGGCCTCCACCACCTCTCTGGGCAACCTGTTCCAGTGTTTTACCACCCTCATTGTAAAAAATTTCTTCCTTACCTCTAGCCTGAACCTACCCTGTTCTAGTTTAAAACCATTTCCCCTTGTCCTAACACAGCTGGCCCTACTAAAAAGACGTTCCCCATCTTTCCTATAGGCCCCCTTTAGGTACTGGAAGGCCGCAATCAGGTCTCCCCGTAGCCTCCTTTTCTCCAGACTGAACAAGCCCAACTCTCTCAGCCTGTCCTCATAGGAGAGGTGCTCCAGCCCTCGGATCATTTTTGTAGCCCTCCTCTGGACCCGTTCCAACAGTTCCATGTCCTTCTTGTGCTGAGGGCTCCAGAGCTGGACGCAGTCTTCCCCCAGCCTGTATTGATACTGGGAGTTACCCCAACTTGCACACTGGCAGCATAGATTTAAAAATCCTCATCTACATTATACTGTATTTCTGCTCCAGTACCTGCAACTGGCTGCCCTTAATTTTGTAATGTGTCCTGGCTGCAATGAGTTTACTAATATCAAATGCTTGTTAGGACCATTAGCATGTGACTTCAGGGTCCTTTATAAACATTTTTAAAGCAAATTTACAACTCAATTATTCTGAGAGTTACATGGCATGCAAATGATGCAAAAGTTCTGGTAATTTTCACTAAGAGTACTGTGGTAGGAAGAGCAGCAAATAAAATACTTAATTACTTAATGCCTCTTTGTAGACTTTAAAAAAAGTGTTTCTGACAAAGCAAAGTACATCATATCTGGAACTGAATGTTTCATTTGTGATGACCACTCTTACCTGAAACCTATTTAGTACCACAACAAAATACCTGAAATAGAACTGTAAACTATGGGACTAATTGTAAACAAAAGGACTGTAAATGATTTGCCAATGTTTTAAGGACAAACCTTTCTTGCAGGTCTCCTTTGTAAAAAAACCCAACAAGTACATCTGCAGTTATTATTCATTTAGCAAAGGGTTTGTCCAAAAAGCTCACAAACCACTAGAGCAGTTTAGTTATTACCATTTGTCCAGAAGGGTATTTACAAAAGGTGTACTTGTCACTGTGCTTTTGAAAGGAGTATATGATTTTGTCTTTAAAAAATACTGCATGTCATCTTTTTGTAATCCATTTACTTCTTCTTTTCCAGAATCATTAATGCAAATAACTTAGGAGCCTGTCTCCTTTTACAGTGTCGGATTCTGATGTACTTTAAACTTAATTTCCTGGGGTTAGGTTTCCAACAGTGGTAAGAACAACTTCTGTAATACTTAAGGAAAGACCAAAATGTATCCAAAACATAGTAACTCTTCTGTTGTCCTCATGATTATACCTCACTTTTCCACTTCTTTCTGGAATTGTGATCCACATGGAAGTAAAAGAAAAGAGGAGGGGATCACTGATGGATTTGCATGTACCTGGAAGCACAGTGGAAGTCCAAAGCTGAGTATCCCCGTGCTCAGGGGACGCTTCTCCAGAACAGTCCCAGTGCTGCTCACAAATGTTTTCCCTCCCAGACTGCCATGATGCACACCAAAACCCTCATAGCACCAAGAAAATGCTTAGCTTGGAATCCTCTGTGCTTAGGCAGCACTGCCAGGGATCAATAAGGTGACGGGGCACTTCATGTGCGGGGCTGCATCCTTCTCCTCAGGCTCTGTGCAGCCACCGATCCAGCTCCACGGGCCAGCTTTTCCTGCTGTGGATCACACTGTTACAGGAAAAGATCTGCACCATCTTTGCAGCTTCTCTCTGGTGCATGAGGAAAACCCCCAAAGTGTTATGGTTTTGTTTCCTGTTTTTCTGCTTAATGAAATGAGCCAGGCCTGGGAAGTACCCAGTGTTTGGCTTGAGAGACTAACTATAAGCAAAACAAGCAAAACCCCAAAGCCTCAGAACATATTTAAATACTTCATAATACAGAAATTTTGTAAAGAAGAGAGACCTGGCACTATCCTGATGCAGGATATTCTGATGGATTTTGCTTGCAAAAAAAAAAAGTTTGTGATAGAATGCCCTGTGGACAAAATACCGCAATTAAAAATCTATTTGAAATCCATTCTCAAGATGGAACTCAATTTGATTTAAATAGTGCTGCCCCAGGTTTGACCCCTCTCTAGTATATTTGACTAAATGGTTTCAGATAATTTGCTGCATTACTTTAAATTAGTTCAAGTGTTCCTCGTAGTACAGGAATACAATTATCTGTTGGCCTTTTATTTAAATTGTTAATTCAGTATACGGCAAATTAATATAAAGGTTTTAAAAATGCAATGCCATATAAAATAACATCCTACATCATCTTTGATGGTGACATTTATCAATATATATTATAGATTTTTTACTTTTTTTCTCTAGCTCACAGTACACCAAATCCTCCAGAGTTTTGAGGAGGTCTTGCGTAATTAAATATGATATCACAAAAACCATAATCCTGGTAAGCTGTGAGAGGGGCTGTTGTACATCTTCAGGAAAAATGTTAAAACAGAAATTTTCTTTCTTGCAAAAATATATTGAGTGCACAAGAAATAATAGTTTGGACAATAAACAAAGGGAATAGTAGGAATGGTCATGAATCGGAAGTGAGCAGGATTTTTCTTTCTTTCCTGAAATGGTATTCCCATCAGAAAATTTCAGTTTGTCAAAATGTCAAGGCAATATATCAGATTGAAAAGGAGGAAGGCAGGCTAACCAGTAGCAGCTAACCAGTAGCTAAGATTTCCTGAAAGGTCTGACTTTCTTATCTACATATAATGGATACATTTTTTCAGGAGGAAAAGGGATTTTTACACTATGTAAATTGCTCAATTAATATCAGTCACTCTAAACCAAACAGGCGTAGGCAATCAATTTATATGCATTGATGTGCTACAGTACTGTCACACTCTGTGTTTAAAATAAGGACCCTAGAAATTTCCCATTTAGTATCTTACCCCTTGCAACCTGTCTTGGAGAGATGTTTTACAAGATCTGATTAACCTAATTGTATATTTCATGATTTTCTTTGCTGCTAAGTTTGCTTGTATTAATGCCAATTATCTAAATCCCATCTTTGACATGGACTAACATGTAGATGGACAAATTATTCAAGGTTTGCAGACAAGCATACAAGGAAATGTGACTAGACTAAGGGCATGTGAATTCCTCTTTGACTTGTAAACAAATAATTTATGATCAGGAAGATCCCAAAGTAAACTTCACTTTCCTTGCATAATTGTCCTATTATGATTACAGACGAGATGGCTTTTTATATCTGAGGCCTGACCCAAGATACATAAATCAATATAATTTCTTGTTAAATAATCCTTGCATCTCCTTCCCCAAACTTATTTACAGGACAAAGTGGATAACATTTCTAACAATATCAGCACTGTACACAAGCAAATGGATTTTAGCCAAGCATTCTCCAAGGTAACTCGTTATGAATCAATATATTCTTCCTTGTGGTGATCATATAATTCCATCTCTAAGGAGTAAGTGAGAAAAGCATGTGGAATTCAAGGCACTTGTCAGGGTTCTTGTTCTGACTTTTGAATATAATGAAACTGTCCACCCTGAATGAGGGAAAGTGATGGTCAGGAAACAAATTTTTTTCAGATGAGTCACCATTTTGGTTTACAATCTTTAAATCAGAATTTCCAAGGAGGATAACCTGAGTGTGTTGCTGATGTCATGCATTTTCTTGTTTGACTGTAAACCCCATGAATAGTGACTGCAGTTTTGGGGGGGGCTGGAAGAATTAATACTTCTGACAGGAATCCAGAGTATTCAAGCTTTTCATTCAAGCCATTAAGTCAAAATGTTACCTTCAAAGTAATTAGAGCTGGGGTTGTTTAGTCTGGAGAAGAGAAGGCTGAGGGGAGACCTTATCACCCTCTACAACTGCCTGAAAGGAGGCTGTAGTGAGGTCGGTGTTGGTCCCTTCTCCTTGGTAACGGGTGATAGGATGAGGGGAAATAGTCTGAAATTGCACCAAGGCAGGTTTAAGTTCGACATTAGGAAAAATTTTTTCACAGAAAGGATTGTCAAGCATTGGAACGGGCTGCCCAGGGAAGTGGTCGAGTCCCCATCCCTGGAGGTATTTAAAAGACGGGCAGACAAGGTGCTTAGGGACATGGTTTAGTGGTGGGATGGCAGGGTTAGGTTAATGGTTGGACTT